ATTTTTTTACTAAATTTAAAAAAATGAAATATTTATTTTGTTATATGAAGAATAATAATAGAAAATTTTTTTTCTAGTACTATTGCTATAGCGGGATATTATAAACAATTTGAAAAGTTGTATTTACTTGTTGAGTTAAAAGACTATTTCCTCTTACGTAAAAGATCTATTGAGAATCTAATGTCATTTATAATCTGAGATTAACAATAAATAATGAACTTTGATAATGATGTCTTTCAAAATCGATAAAAATTATTTATTTACTATACACACTCTTTTTAAAACAAAAGGAAATAGTTGTTAATAAAAAAAAATTTAGGGTTGTAAATATTGCAAATAAAAAAACTTTTTTTCAATAAATCATATCTTTGTGAAAAGAAAAAAAATTTTAATAAAAGAAATTTTTTTAATAATAATTATAATAAAAGTGGTTTTTTCATAAAAATAATTTTTAATAAAAAAGAATTTTTTCATTTTAATGAAGGAGAGAATATTTTACTTTTGAAATATTTTATTAACAAAAAAAACTTTTTTGTAATTATAAAAGAGAATTTTTTAATTCAAAAAAATATTTTAATAATAAAATAAGACTTTTTTATAAAAGAGAATATTTTACTTTAGAAATATTTTATTAACAAAAAAGGCTTTTTTTAATGATAAAAAAGAATTTTTTAATTTGGAAATATTTTGTTAATAAAAAAGACTTTTTATAAAAGAGATTATTTTACTTTAAAAATATTTTATTACCAAAAAAATATTTTATTTTTAATAAAAGAGAATTTTTTAATTTAAAAATATTTTATTACCAAGAAAATGTATTTTTCAATAAAAGAGAATTTTTCAATTTTAAAATATTTTATTAATAAAAAAATTTGTTAAGGCCTCGATTGTTTTTTTTTAATAAAAGAGAATTTTTTACATTGAAATATTTTATTAACAAAACAGACTTTTTTAATAAAAGAGAATTTTTTACTTTCCAATTATTTTATAATTAAAAAAAATTTTCCTTCAATAAAAAATATTTTTTCAATAAACGAACAATAATAATTTATAATAAAATTCTATTATTTTTTGTTTACAAAGAAAATTTAGAATAAAATAAGGAAAAAACTCTTCGCACTAGTTTCTACTACAAGGTATATTTTTCTTCCATACTAGTAGAATAAGGAAAAATAGGAAATTTATATGAAAATCAAAACTATTTATTAAAAAACAAATTTTATTTATTATTCAGTAAAATAATTATTTTTTCATTTTTTTTTTTTGTGAACGAAAAGAAAATAATTTTTCCTTTTTTGACAATTATTTTTAGTATATTAATAGTGGGCGTGAAATGTTATGCGATTGGAATTTATATATGACAACAATGTACAAAGTTGATATCATTTTTCCTGATAAGAATGGGCACGCCAATTATTACACATCAACTCTTTTAACCTACTTGATTCCTAATTACTAAATACACATATAAAGGAAATTTAATAACATAAAAATTTATAGGAAGATGATAATCTTTTTTTTTATTTTCAATATTATCACTAAATTTTTCATTCTTCCTCTTAGTATAGAAAGTCAAATCATAAAAAATTTTTGTTAATATTTAATTTATTACTAATATTCTTGTTATTATTTTAATACCACTAATAGTACTACTATTAGTATTGCTACTAGCACTACTACTATTACTAATAGTACTACCACTAGTATTACTACTAGCACTACTACTATTACTAATAGTACTACCACTAGTATTACCACTAGTATTATTACTAGTAGTTTCTACTACTGGTATTACTACTACTATTACAAATAGTTCTACTAATAGCACTACTACTATTACTGCTAGTAATACTAATAGCACTACTACTATTACTACTAGTAATCCTAATAGTAGTAGTACTATTATTAATAGTACTGCTAAAATAGTATTAATAGTACTGCTAATAGTAGTACTACTATTACTAATAGTAGCAGTACTATTACTAGTATTATAAGTACTACTAGTACTACTATTAGTACTAATAATATTAATAATATTACCAGAAGTACTAATAGTACTAGTAGTATTAATAGTACTAGGAATGATACTAGTAGTATTAATAGTACTAGTATTAATGGTAGTATGACTACTAGTACTATTAATACTAATAGTATTACTACTAGTATTAATTAATAGTATTAGTAATAATGTTAGTACTACTAGTACTAATAGTATCAATAGTACTATTAATACTACTAGTACTAATAGTATTAATAGTACTATTGATACTACTAGTACTAATAGTATTAATAGTACTATTGATACTACTAGTACTAATAGTATTAATAGTACTATTGATACTACTAGTACTAATAGTATTAATAGTACTATTGATACTACTAGTACTAGTAGTATTAATAGTACTATTGATACTAGTAATATTATTACTAGTAGTACTAGTATTAATAGTACTATTGATACTAGTACTATTAATACTAGTAGTACTACTAGTACTATTAATACTAATAGTATTTATACTACTAGTACTGTTAGTATAGCTGATGCTAGTAGTATTACTATCAGTACTATAAATAGTACTGATAATCATATTAGTACAAATGGTAGTGCTATGAGTACTTTTAATACTATTAGTACTATTTATAGTACTGCTTCTAGTACTACTAATATTTCTACTAAAAGTACTACTAATAATACTATTAACAATAAAACTAATAGTACTACTAATTTACTACTACTTATATTAGTATCTTATATTACTTTTTACTTGTGCTACTACTATTACTACCTATTATAATTATGACTACTATAGTATTGACACTGGTTTGTTTTTTATTTTAATTGTCTGTATTTTTTATTAATTTATATAAAAAAATATTACTAGTAGTGTTTCTAGTCCTGTTAATAATATAAAAACATTAATAGATATTAAAAATGATAGTAAATATAATTTTAAAGAAAAAAAAGAAAAGAAATCGATTTTAAAACAGAAAATATTTTAAAAAAACAATATTTTTTTTCTCTCAAAACCCTCCTGATTAGTGATGCGAATCGATAAATGAAAATAAATAATTTTTTTTTTTTGAAGGGATTTATTTTGGGCATTTTTATGCTTGTGGGAATTTCCGAACCTAAAACTTTTTTTATTGCTTCCTTTATGTATCGCGCGCGAAAGTTGATGAGGAAGAAAAAAAGGAATAAGAAACAAAATTGAAATAAAAAAAACCTATTAGACCTTCACTCTGCCAGGATTAGGCAGAGTTCGTAGAATTCTTGGGATTATGAGAGAGAGAGAGAGAGAGAGAGAGAAAATAATTTTTTTAAAATAAATTATTATATAAATTTAAAAAAAAGAACTAGATTGTAATTAGTTGAAAGAGAAAAAATTAACAAACAAAAATAAAAAAATGTCCAATAATAATTGAGTAAAATGAATTCAAAAATATTTCTCAATAATTATAATATATTACAAAAAAATATTCAAGGGAAATATAATAATAATTATATAATTTTAATAAATATGTATATTAAAATTTCTAAATTTCCTTACATATTTTTTTTTCTTCTTTTCGACTTTTCAAAATATATTTATTATTTGATGTGGAAATAAAATAGTTTTAGTTTCATGAGAAATGTACATTATAATTTTAAATACCAATTTTGTAATTTCGTGAGATCCAGATAATTTTTGTAAAACTAGGTTCAAAGATAAGAGATTTTATTAGTACAATATTATTATATTCTACAATAATTTTTTTTATACTTTTAATATTGATATTTCATTTTACTTTTTTTTCAATTATTCAGTTTAAATTTAGTTTGAGATTTTTTAATTTAATATTGTTTTTATTATTTTATTTCTAAAGTATGCGTTGTTTATTATTTATTTATTATTTTTTTTATTATTTATTTATTATTACTATATATTGTTATTAGTATTTTCTTTTTGTTATTAATATTTTAATATTATTATTACTTTCTTTTATCTTTTCGTTTTTTTATCGTTTATTTGTTTATTTATTTACTATTATTATTTTCTCATTTTTCGTTCATTGTTTATTTATTTTTTTATTGTTATATTACTTTATTATTAATAATCACAAGTTTTACAACCGTTTATGATTAAGTTAATAAATAAATATTACTGTGAAATAAATAAATTAATTAAATAAATTAATTGAATAAATTAATTAATAAATAAATTGAAATAAATAAATAAAATAAATATTAGTATTATTTTGTTCGTTTATTGTTTCCAATTATTTATTTATTATTACTATTTTTATACTTTTATTCCATTATTTAATTAATATTTTTTCTTATTTATTATTAATTATTATTATTATTAGTATTTCATTTTATTATTTTAATAAACAATAGTTTATTTATTATTGTTTTCATACTTTTTGTCTACTATTTATTTCCCTATTATTATTATTATTATTATTATTATTATTATTATTATTATTATTATTATTATTATTATTATTATTATTATTATTATTATTATTGTTATTATTATTATTATTATTATTATTATTATTATTATTATTATTATTATTATTATTATTATTATTATTATTTCGTACTGTAAGCCCCTAAATTGTTTAAATAAAAATAAATTATTATTATTATTAATGATTGATTATATATTACCTTATTTATTTATTATTACTATTTTTGTTCTTTTTTATTATTGTTATTTTATTTATTGTTACTATTATTTATTATTGTTACTATTATTTATTTATTTACATGACAACGATCATATAAAAAAGAAGGAAAAGAAATAATATAAATAAAATAATAAATTAATGTTTAATTTCTCTAAAATTCAGTGAATCTAAAAATAATATAATTTAAAATTAAAGAATTAAACTAAATTCAAAAATATTTTTTTTTGCTATAAAAATTAAAAAATTTGAAAATAAAAAATAATAATTGAATTTTTTTAAATTTTATTTTTTATTGAATGTGTTTAAGAAAAGAATAAGAGACTTACCAGTGAAATTGGATGTATCGTTGGGGCGACTACATCCCCATGAATTAATGATTCAGACTGATTGATAACGAAGACAATAAGAAAGATTTCAAATAAAAATTTACGAGACATGGCAAAATTTTTTATTCACTTTTTCTTTCTTTCTTTCTTTCTTTCTTTTTTATTTATTTCACTTTACTATTTTTTATCGAAAATATAATTAAAAAAAATTTTTTTTTGTTATTTCAGTCACGAATAATTAATATTTATAATTATATTTAAATCACAGCAAATATTAAAGAATATTTATATAAAAACTAACGAAACAAAAATTATTTCTATTTATTTGAATTTGTTTTTTTAAATTTGTATTCTTGAAAATTGAATGTTTCAGAGTGTTGACAATTTTCGATTGAAAAAACTTTTTTTTTTAAAGATTGTTTTGTGACAAATTGTTTTCGAGAATTCTTTTAATATATTTATTATTGTTGTTATTGTTATTATTTATCAACATATATACGTAGAAAATAATATAAACTTTATCTGGAGGAAAAAAAATATTTGTAATTTTCTCTTGTTAAATATTTTATTTTTCTCTTTCATTTATCAAGTTGAAATTTTTCGAATTTTTTTTCTCTTTTTTTATCAACAAAATATATACACGTGAAAACTTTTATTTATAAAAATAATTTATATTTATTTGTAGTATAAAATTTATATGAAAAAGTAAATTTCACTTGTGAGGAAACAATATCTTTTTTATTTATTAATTAAATTTTTTTTTTTTTATTAATATATTATTTTGTTCCTTAACAATATTATTAATTTAGAATTTAGTTTTAATTTAGAATTTATTTTTAATTTTTCTATTAAAAAAAATGTTTTTTTTTTATTCAAAGTAATGTTTTCTTTATTAAAAAAAAGTTTTTTCTATTAAAAAATGTTCCTTTCATTTAAAAATCATGCTTTTTTAAAATTCAAAAATGTTTTTTTTAAATGTTTTTATTTGAAATTTTTTTTCTATTAAAAACTATTTTTTTTTTATTAAAAAAATGTTATTAAAAAAATATTTTTTTTTGTTTAAAAAAAAAGTTTTGTTTTTAAAAGTATTTTTTTAATCAAAAAATGTTAAATTTCATTAACTAAATATTCTTTTTCTTATAAAAAAGTAATTTTTTATTAAAATAAAATTCGTATTAAAAAATACTCTCTTAAAAAATTTTTTTTACTTTTTAGAAATACTCGCATATTTTGAAATACAATTTCCCGCAAAAAATATTTTCGATTCCTTTTTTCTTCCGTTTGCCCTTAAATCGTCCTTTTTGACAAATTTGTCCTCTTTTTTTTCATTGTGCTCGTTTATAAACACTCGGAATAAACACAATTCACGTAATTTCGAAAATTACAATTTTTTTCACATTCATTGTTATACAGAGAGGATAAAAAAAAATTTTTTATAACAAAATTTTTACATTCACTATTATTATTTTTTTTTAATAGAAACAATTAACAATTAAAATAATAAATATTTATTTCCTTCTTTTTTTTGCGAGGAAAAATAATTAAGAGTGGAGAGTGGGGGGGGGGGGGGGGAAGAAGCACGTGGGATTTTGAAAATTAACTGCACGAAAAATATGACATCCGCGTGGAAAAGAAAGTTTTGCACTGACCAACTCTGAGGTTCTAAACACAACTGCGAGTGTTGCCTCCTCCACTCCAGGTAAATTCCGTCGTGACTGCTAAGAATTTATCGGCAAAGCGCCTCATGAGAAAAGAAATAAAAAAAATAAAAAAAAAAAAAATTGAGAGAAAAATAAATGTGGAACCGATGAATGAATACTCATTAGTACTTGTAACTTCTCAATTTCTTTCTCTTTTTTTTCTCCCTCTCTCTCACTCCCTCAGTCTCGAAATTCAAATTAATCTAAATTATTTTTTAATTAACTAACATTTTTAACTGTAAATTCTAAATTTAGAAAAAGAACTAAAAAAGCACTTATTGAATGTGAATTTATATAATTTTTTGAAAAAAAATGAATTTTAGTATTTTAAAAAAGTGAATTATTTTTTAAAGTATTATTATTATATTACTTATGTTATAATAATTAATAATAATAAATAATATTGGTAATTTCTAGTATTAATATATGTACTATAATTCTGAAAAATTTTAAAACTAATACTAGTAGTTAATAATAATAGTAATTACTAACAATAATAATAATAAATAATAATAATAATAATAATTACTAATATTAATATTTAGTAATACTAGTAAAGATTAACAGCAGTAAATACTAGTAATTACTAACTACAATTACTCGTAATCAGCAATATTAGTAAATACAATTAAATAAAAATAATTATGATGCTAGAAATGAGTAATACTAGTAATTAGTAGTACTAGTATTTAATAATAATAGTAATCATTATTACTAGTAATTAGTGACAATAGTAATTAATAACTGTTTCTACTCATAGTTTCTAGTATTATTAAATACTAGTATTGATAATTACTAGTATGACTAATTAATAGTATTATTAAATACTAGTATTACTAAGTACTAGTATTATTAAACACTATTATGACTAGTGATTAGTACAGTATAAGTAGTATTAGTATATTAGTTATTAAGTATTAGTATAGTATTAGTAGTTATATTAGTAATTAGTATTATTATTAGTATTAGTATTAGTAGTTAGTCTTTAGTATTAGTATTAGTATTAGGATTAAGTAATTAGTATTTAGTAATTAGTATTAGTATTAGTTTATTAGTAATTAGTTTAGTATTATTATTAAGTATTAGTATTTAATAGTATTAGTATATTATTAGTATGTATTAGTATTATTAATTAAGTAGTACTAGTATTAAGTAATTAGTATTATTATTAGTATTAGTATGATATTAGTATTGTAATTAGTATTAGTATTAGTATTAGTATTAGTATTAGTATTAGTATTAGTATTAGTATTAGTATTAGTATTAGTATTAGTATTAGTATTAGTATTAGTATTAGTAGTTAGTATTAGTATTAGTATTAGTATTAGTATTAGTATTAGTATTAGTATTAGTATTAGTATTAGTATTAGTATTAGTATTAGTATTAGTATTAGTATTAGTATTAGTATTAGTATTAGTATTAGTATTAGTATTAGTATTAGTATTAGTATTAGTATTAGTATTAGTATTAGTATTAGTATTAGTATTAGTATTAGTATTAGTATTAGTATTAGTATTAGTATTAGTATTAGTATTAGTATTAGTATTAGTATTAGTATTAGTATTAGTAGTACTAGTACTAGTATTAGTATTAGTATTAGTATTAGTATTAGTATTAGTATTAGTATTAGTATTAGTATTAGTATTAGTATTAGTATTAGTATTAGTATTAGTATTAGTATTAGTATTAGTATTAGTATTAGTATTAGTATTAGTATTATTTAGTATTAGTATTAGTATTAGTATTAGTATTAGTATTAGTATTAGTATTTAGTATTAGTATTAGTATTAGTATTAGTATTAGTATTAGTATTAGTATTAGTATTAGTATTAGTATTAGTATTAGATTAGTATTATTATTAGTATTAGTCTTAGTATTAGGTATTAGTATTAGTATTAGTACTTAGTATTAGTATTAGTAGTATAGTATTAGTATTAGTATTAGTATTAGTATTAGTATTAGTATTAGTATTAGTATTAGTATTAGTATTAGTATTAGTATTAGTACTAGTATTAGTATTAGTATTAGTATTAGTATTAGTATCAGTATAGTTAGTATTAGTATTAGTATTAGTATTAGTATAGTATAGTATTAGTATTAGTATTAGTATTAGTATTAGTTATTAGTATTTAGTATTAGTATTCGTATTAGTATTATTATTAGTATTAGTATTAGTATTAGTATTAGTATTAGTATTAGTATTAGTATTAGTATTTAGTAATACTAGTATTTAGTAATACTAGTATTTAGTAATACTAGTATTTAATAAAACTGTTTAATAATTCTATTAATTATTAGCATTACTAATTACCAGTATTAATTAATAGTATTACTAATTACTAGTGCTACTTATTACTAGTACTAGTATTTAATAACGTTAGTAATTAGAAATACTAGTATTGAAAAATACTAGTAATTAGTTATACTAGTATTTAATAATGTTATTAATTAGTAATATTATTATTGAACAATACTATTAATTTATCATACCAGTATTTAATAACACTGGAAATTAAAAATAGATCAATTATTAATTACTAATACTAGTAATTACATATAGAAACAATTATTAATTACCAATACTAGTAATTACAAATAGAAACAATTATTAATTTCCAATACTAGTAATTACAAATAGAAACAATTATTAATTACTAATACTGGTAATTACAAATGGAAACAATATTATTAATTACCAATACTAGTAATTACAAGTAATTAGTGATTAATTACTAATAAATTACTAATCAGAATAATTATATTAATTATTAATAGTAGGAAATAACTTATTAATAACTGATTAATTAATGTAATAACTAATTGGGTTAATTAAAAATAATCACCAAGACTAGTAATTACTAATTACTAATTAGTAATTACTGATTAGTATTTACTGATTTTATTTACTAATTTTATTTAATAATTATTAGTAACAATAACAATTATATTAAATAATTCTTTAAAGATAAATTGAGATTATTTATTAACAAGACTTTAATTAAATTGAGTATGTAATTTTTTTCACAAGATGAAAGAAATGAATAGCAGGTAATTAATTAATAATGCTACTAAATTGACAGAAAGTTAATTATTTCATATTATTACAAGAATGTAATAATTATTTTAAATTTTAAAATATAAAAATAGTTTAATTAACTAATTTTTCTAATTAATTTTAATATTTATCAAGTATAATTATAATTTATTATAATTATTAATTATTTGGTAACTTTGAATTATAAACTAAATTAATAATTTAATTTATAATTGAATTAAAGTGGAAAAAATTAAAAAAATTAATTAATTTGTTTATATGTTTAACAAACTTGGTGACATTGGCTATTAGTTAATAAGTTAATTATAAACATTTTAATAAGTTTTGTAATCTTGTATATTAAGAAACTTTTCTTAATTATTAATTATTGTAATAAATGCCTACAAATTATTTTAAATTCCTTA